CTTTTTGAGAAAGCGCCATACTGCTTTCCACAGGGGTTGCATCATTTTACACTCCCACCAACAGTGAATAAGGGCTCCAGTTTCTCTACAATCTTGCCAGCATTTGTTGCTTGCTGTTCTGTTAAATTTTGCTATTTTGACTGGGGTGAGATGATATAGTTGTTTTCAAACTATATTTCTATTGTCAACTTTTTGAGGAAATACCAGACTGCCCTCCATATTGGTGGTACCATTTTTGATTCCTACAATAAGATTGGCTCAGGATAGAGGAGGGTTTAGGGCTGTTGTACATAGGATCTCTGTGAGTCACAGACGAGTACAGGACACATAACAACAACCACCAGCAGTGTATGAGAATTCCAATGTCTCTGCATCTTCTCCAACATTTGTTGTTTGCTGCCTTTTTGAACTTTGCTATTGTTGCTAGGTGAGATTATAACTCATTGTTGTTTTGATTTGCATCTCTCTAAGAATAGCATTTTTTCCTCTCGTGTTTGTTGGCCATCTGACCATCTTTGGTGAAACTCCTGTTCATCTCTTCTGCTCATTTTGTGATTGGGTTGTTTGTCTTTTTTCTTAAATTTTTTTTTTATTAATTTCAATGAAAATTTACAGAGATTTGGATTTCCATTGTTCGTCTTTTTCTTGTTGATATACTAGATTATTTTAGATACTTTAGTTATGAGTCCTTTATCGGATAAGTCATTGCTGAAAGAAGGTTAAAGGACCCATTTTGGACTAGTCAAAACTCTACCCTGGAAGTATGTTAGGAATTCCTCCCAGTAGTTAGGTCTTCCCTGCTACTCTAGGAAGTGTATTGAAGGCAGAGGGCAAGGGGAAGGATGCTATTAACAAATCTTTGCTGTGTGATAGCAGTTCCATGTGAAACATTCTTTTTACCCCCATGTGATATATTTTCCCCCCCCAATTTTATTGATATTTGTTTTTTTACAAAATTCAAATATGTCAAATATAATGGATGTCAAGAACCGGAGTCCTCGTAAAAATGCATCCAATTAGAGTTGCATCAATCTTGATTATTCCATACTTTACCCATTTGCTTTATTTGTTTTCTCTTCTTTACAATCTCCCACATATACCACAAAGACTGTCATGTGTACCACAGAAAGTGAAAACCCCCAATGAACTTAGCCCCCATCACTCCATTCCTAGTCAAAAGTCCACACAGTCACAGAGTTATATCCCATGTATCCATATATTACCCCATCGTGTCTTAAGAGACATTTTCTCTTATAGATTTTCATTTTAGTGTATCTCTTTATCTTGGATGAGGACAACCCAGAAGTGGCCTTTTTGTGTTTGATGTTACCATTCACAACTTTTCTTTATAAGCATAGTACAGTCTTGGGAGCAGGGTTGCTGTATATTGAAGGCCTGACAGTAGTTCATAGCCTTGTCTGTCTGAGGTTGCTATGCTGTGCATTTTTTTTATTAGTGTACCAGTTTTGAATTATCCCTCATACTTCAGATTTGACATTTTCATGAGAAGTGGAACAGTAATAATAACATCAACTTATTAAAATACATTTTAAGACTTTTTACTTTGAAAAAGATATGTCATTGCCAAATATTTTTCCCCAGTCTGTGGACTTTCTTTTTACTCTGTTGGAGAAAGTTTTTTGATGCACACAAGGATCTATTCATCTATCTTATTCTCTCCTATCTGTTGGCTTTTAGTTATACTTAAAAGTCTATTCATTCCATAAAGTAAAGCTTTTAGGTAGTTTCTGGTTTTTCCTCCAATGAACTTTATAGTTTTTAGTTTTACTCCAGCTCCCTGATCCACCTTGAGTTGGTTTTTGTGTATGGTGTGAGGTGTGGATCTCCAGTTTTCTGCAGGTGGTTGTCCAGTTTTGCCAGCATTGTTTGTTAAAGAGGCTATTGTTTCCCCACTTATTTGAATTCATGTCCTTGTCAAAGATGAGTCGATAACAGGCAGATGGGTTGATTTCTGAGTTATTGATTCTGTTTCATTAATCTATCTGTCTTTACTATGATGTCCTGACTACCACGGATGTGAAGTAGGTTTTGAGACCAGGAAATGTGATGCCTCCTACTTTTTCCTTTTCAGTAGTGCTTTGCATATTAGGAATTTCTTTTCAAATAAAACAAGAAATTGTCTTTTCCATCTTGTTGAAGAATGTCATTGGTTTCTCTATTGGGATTGCATTGAAACTGTAGATTGCTCCTGTTAGAATTGCCATTCATGATATTGAGTCTCCTATCCATGAATATAGTATATTCGTCCATTTCTCTAGGTATCTTTTTGTTCCTCGATAGTAGTGTTTTGTAATTTTCTTTATACAGGTCTTTTATCTCTCTAGTTAGATTTGTTCCTAGGTATTTCTTCTTGTGGTTAGCTATTGTAATTGGTATTAGTATTATTATTTTCTTCATTTTAACATTGTTTTAATCAAGTAACTTGGGTGTTGGAAGGTATTATTTTTCTTATTTTCTTTGCTCTTTGTTACTGTAGAGAAATCCAA